GATTTAAAAATGACTTATAAATATAACATACAATTTAAGTTTTTCAGAACTTAAAAGTGACTTATAAACATAATATCGGGAGTACATGTATGCGTATATACTAATCAAACCTAATCAACATGATCCGTTCTTCCTATCTCCAATTCCATATCAGTATCGTTATTTTTTTAATGAGATTTCTTTGTGGCTATGGTATTTTTTCTTTTAACGAGATTAATGTTCATGATTTGTTCCTCCTTCTCTTTCTTCCATATATATGTGACAAGCAAGCAGTTTCTATTTCTATTTTCTAGCTTTCGAGGTTGCCAAAAAAAAAAAAATCTAGCCTATAATGACTTAACTGAGGATAGAATAGTAATTTAATTGAACATTACTCAGTAATTAACTTATTTTCCAGTTGTAATTAAGCTAACTTTTTAAAGAAATTAAGACTTCTAATGAACCTGCAAACAGAAGGTTGTATCATACACGTGTAGGAATTTTGATTCCTATATGTAATTGGCATCATTAATTTTTTTTCATATGAATATATAATTTTACCATTTATTTATTATTATAGCTTGACTTTATTTTGATAAGGTATAGCATATATTAAATAAAAATAATTAAATTTTAAAGCACAACTAATAAAGTTTAAGCTGTGTGAAAGATTCTGAAAATAACTTATAAATAAAATTAGAAGAGTATAAGTTAGAAGTATTCAACTTTTTGAAAAATATAAAGTGAAAGAAAAGGAAGGATAATAATTAGGCTTACCAAACAAATTAACCGATGTATTTCAACTCATTATAACATCAGAATTGTATGTTAAGAATCAAAACATACATGACAACAATTTCTTACACATTTTAAATTCATTTTAAGAACAGTATTTTTAATCTGTACCACCAGTCCTAAATACATATTACTTTTAATTATCAAATTAAAACACTAAGTACTCATTAAAATGAATAGGTTTTTATCTTTCTGCACTATTATCACCATCGATCAATTTGAAACATGAATGCTTTCTTTATATTCTAATTTATTTTGTATAACTTGTGCACATCATATCTTTTATTAAAGATTCGAACTCATAACCTCACGTTTAATAAATCTTTAAAAGAGATCTTGATATCAGTTAGGCTAATTGCAAATATGCAAAAAGGACTTTTCTAAAGAAAATATCTAATATCCCAAAAATTTTTACACGCGCATAATGAGTTACATTCAGGTTTAAAATATATCAAAGATATAGAAATTCGTACTATTTGTTCATAAATTATATATAAATTTTGTTTATTGTTATTTTTTTTCAGTTATGTGAAATATACGAAGAAGGAAGAGGGGCATGCATAGTTTTAACGTGGCATGATTGGATTGGACGTTGAGCAAATCAAATGATCCATCATTTGCCTACTAAAAAGGAAACTAAACTCTAAAAGGCTATGACAGGAATTTAAATTTTGTTTGATGAAAATAATACTCCCCCTCTAGTGCCAAACTATTAAGTTAATTTTGGTTCTAAACATAATATCTATTTTTTATATTTATCAATTTTTTTACCTCTATGAATACTCCTTCAATTATAATTAAGTAAGAAAAAGAGTGAGGATATTAAAAAAAATGACTATGATGTTTAAAAAAAACATATTATATTTTTTATAATTAACTAACTTACTTAATTTTTTTTAATCTAATCAAATTAGTCAAATATGTATTACCTATTTAACTTTCTTATTAGGATATTAAGGAACGGACGAGTATTCAATAAGTGCAATAATTATATATATTTGGATCTCACCTGTGTTTCACGACTGACTTGACTTCTTTTTCTGTTAAATCATCATCACTCAGTAGACTTCGTCTCATTTACTTTCCGTCATGCGCAACAAAAAGTTGACTTTTTCTTACGATTATTAAGTGGACTCAAAACAAATAGATAAATATTTCTACGAAGATTAATAATAATTACATAGACCATGCCGAAAGTTAGTTTTATTAGTAAGGCCAATATTTCATATTTCATAATGAAATGAGTTTTTGGTGTTTGAGTGAAAACCAAATTATGGTTTTAAAACTAATTTTACAGTATATAATTTACAAAATAAGTATGTGAGAAATTTTTTTTTTCAATTTACATAAAAATACTTTTTAAGTGATTTTAAGTTATCTCAAACACCATTTTATTCCATATGTGCCTAATCAATAAGTCCCTCACAAGTGTTGTTCTGCTAAGTACTCTTTGAGATTTGAGGTTTGTGTTGAGTTTTTCTAACCCAGTGATATTAAATATCTTCTTTGAATCTTTCTTTACCATGAGATTGTGAGTTTAACTCTTTATAAGTATATTGGATGCATGAGTTTCTTCTGTTGAGCATTTCCTTGACAAATCTTTATAAATTCAATTCACCTAATTTCTTTTATATCTTTGAATGATATGCGCATGCATAATATATATATTTATTAATTAAGTTCACTTGTATAATTATTGTTTTGAAAATTTCAACTCCCTAATTATATTCATCAACCAGAAGAAAATAAAATAAGAGGTCTTGAAATTATACCTTCAATTTTCATTTTCAGAAATGATGTCACGAATCTACTACATATATATAAATATATTTAATGACATGAAACGCATTTTATAGCTTGTAAAGTTTGACTAAAAGATAGAAGAAAAACTTGGTTTTTGACTTTTGATGGCTTTCATCTGGTATTATCATGTTAAAATAATGTGAAAGCCCAATAATTTGGTTTATTATTCAAATTCCTTACGTAATTGATGGGGAATGGACCTCATGTATATAAAATATTATAAACGGACGTGCTTAAAGTTTATTTAATTAGTACAGTACACACATATACAATAAAACAAAATATAAAATAAAAAGCCAAGTAATTTAAAAAGTTGATGCGTACGTACTAGGAAAAAACTTAAAGTGGTGTCTTTCAAATCAGCAATCAACGTCGCTAGTGCCCAATTAATATAAGATTACCAGAGAACAAATTAAAGAGAAGCAATTAATTAAAAAGAAGGATCGGAAGTGGAAGAAGGAAAAAGAATTGAGGGGAAAAAAGGGTGATCAGATCTAGGGTTTGCTGTGATATTTATGTGTATAGATTTATTTAATGTATAGGGCTTCTTTAGTTTGATGTGTGTGTGTGTGTGTAATATCAAGTTTTATTATTTATAAAACAAAACTTAGGTTCATTATTATATCAAATTACCGTTCAATCACATCTCAATACTTGGATCTTATGGTAAATATAATTCTAACACATTATATTAAATTTAAATAATTAAATGATCAAGTTAAAAAAAATGCCTGAATATTAAAGTTTTATTCGACAACTGATGATGATTGTAATGGATGCGGTGGGTAAATATAATATATTTAAATCTTCTTATTTATAAAACATAAACTATGCATAAAATAATATTTTAACAAGTATTATTATTTACAAGACACGAGCGCATCTAGTTTCTCGAATTTTATGCAATATAAAGTACTCACACTATTTTAAAAAATGTATAGTTATATATACAAAATAAATATAATAAATTAAAATTGCTGAAAAATCCTCCACTGTCAAATTTCACCAAAGATACTTGAAGCTCGTTTAAGGATTTTGGTGCAACATATTTTTAATCACGTGTAGCATATATATCGTATATCTTCAGTTATATGTAAATACCTTCCATTTTGTATATGGTTGACGATGATATGTTTCACACAGTAAAAGAAAAAAAGACCCGAATTCTTAAACAAATATAGGGTATTTTTCGCTAACAAATTTTTCAATTGGGAGATTTTTCAGCAATTTCTCTAATAAATATAAAAGAGTGTGTGTAGTAGAGATTATGTGTGATGGGGTTAAGCAGCAAATAAAAGGTGGGATTAGTGGGGTTTATTGTAATTACATGAGTTCACATGTCAGGCTAAACAGATTGATGAGAGGATAATCACTTTACACCACACAAACAACTCATAAATTATGACCCACGAATCATGCGTGTAACAGCTCAATTAGATTTGGTCTCTTGTTTCCTCATTTAATTATTAATTATTATATTAATCATATCATCGATCTTCACATCACAAATAATAATAAAATAAATTAAACCCACAAATATTAGTACTACATACATATATATTTACTTCTTCAGTTATAGTATATCTCAATCTTTCTTTAACTATTATTAATTAGGTCAATCCCTCCTTATTAGTCAAGCAATATCAACTTCTTTATTACTTTTCGATAAATCCGTCGATCTTATCATTTCTGTCTTTCCCTAAAAAGCCACACTAATTCGCTTCTAATTAAACTTGAAATTAAATATATTTTAAAGATATTTCGGATCTCTAATTCATCAAACACCACGATTTTCCCTCAATTAATCCTAGATTTACTTCCCTTAATTATTTTCTTACAAATCAAAGCACTACGCTCTCCGCGATGTAAAGAAAAATAAATACTCATAAAAAACAAGTATATATATGTAATTTTTAAAAAAAGAAATTACATATAAATATTACATCTTACATACCTTTGAGCGCGTGGCTGATGTGGATGAATACAGCTTATCATCAAAACATGTAAAATAATTAGAGACAATCGCTTTCATAGATAACGTCCAAAGACTGATATATATAAATACAAATGGGCATGTAATATAAAATTCTGTTGTTATTATTATAGAATATATAATAATGGGATCATTATTAGTAAATATATTACAATAATAATAGTAATAATCACAGAGAGAGAGAGAGAGAGATAAAATCTAAGCATATAAAACACTTTGAATCTATACACAATCTGATCCAGCGGTGCAATAATTCCTGTTAGGGCCAAACTGCCTTAAAAAGGAGCATTTGGAGATCTCTGATTCCCCCCAGCAAATCTCTTTTCAATAAGCTCAAGCTTAATTAGCTAGCCACCCTTCTTCTCTCCCTCCCTCCCTCTCTCTCTCTCTCTCTATATATATATATATATATCAGCTCTCTTTCTCTATCTCTGAGATCTCCATATAAATATTTGTGTTTCTCACATAAGAAGAAATAGAGAGAGAGAGAGAGAGAGGAACCTCAACTAAGCGGATCAAAACCATGGGAAGCAGTTATTTTGGGGAGCCAAACATGATGAGAAATGAAAGAGCAAGTGGGTTATCTTCTTCTTCATCTTCTTCATCAAGAAAAGGGAAGAAGAATGGTTCAGATAAGCCGAAACAGCCACAGAGAGGTCTTGGGGTTGCTCAGCTGGAGAAAATCAGATTACATGGCCAAATGCCTTGTGCTTATCCTCCTTATCCTTCCTCTTCCTTCAGCCATGTAATTAGCTTCTCTCTCTCTCTCTCTCTCTCTATATATATATATATATATATAAATATCTTTCTCCTTTTTCTCCGAGTCATCAATAATCTCTTATCGATGACTCTGTATTGTTCATAACTTACGAATAATGTTACTTTTTATAGACTGACTGATGATGGGTTTGTTTTGGCTTTTTATTTGAACATATATATGCAGGAAGATCCAAGAGTTCAGGCGACTTATTCTTCATTTCCGTCTTCTTCTCTCTCTTATTCTTCTTCATCCTCATCGTACGCTGCTTCCTATGGCTTCCATCCCAACGTTGTGGTATGCTTATTTAACTTTCAATTTTCTTTTCCCCCCCTTTTATTACACTAATTGTATGTATTCTATGATCTTCATCACATGTTGTGATCAGTCTCCCAGGCTTTGGTACTTTTTAACGAAACTAATTTATTCAAGTGGGCATTTAATTGGTGTACCCTTGCGGAATCAACCAAAAAAAAATCATGTTTGGTGCTTTTTTACATTTTATTTTTCAGAAATTCCATGTGATTATTTCTTAAGTTTAATAGCCATATATAAGCCTTATTACTTAGTAATTTTCTTGTTTTGAATCTCAATTACTTAATTTTGCTAATGCAGATGGGAGTGCCTGAATATGAAAGAACAAACATGAGATATGATTCTCATCCAAGGTACTTAAAAAACTCGTCTTGGTTCTTCTGCCAATTTATCTAAGTAATTAATTATATATTTGCCTTCTAATTTTGATAAATTCTTTACTGATATATTAATTTTTTTAACTTTATTTTTTCCTCACCAGATGGGACCATCCCAACGCAATGTTAGAGACTCAACCTTTAGCTCAACCCAACGTAACTAGACCCTTTCTTAACCTATATGTAAGTTTTTATTATTATTTCTTGAAAAAAAAAAACCACGCATTTATATATAATGATTTATACTTGCATGTTTAATATTAAAATATCCCACATTTAATTTTTCTTAATTTTTGCTATTTTTAGGATTCACATGATGGGAGTAGATCAATGGGTTCAGGCAGTCAGAATTCTGAATCAAGTGACAATCAAGAACTAGATTTGGAGCTGAGATTATCCATTTAGAGTTATTAATTAACCAGCAAAATTTCCATTGCCATTAGAAAATTGAAAAATTATCACGAATTAATGTACTAATTACTTTCATTTGCAAAATTAGAGCATTGTAGAAATTAAAGGACGAGCAAGTCAGATCGATTTGTTCATGTTTGTCTAATTGTCTTAGCTAAGTTTTATTTGGATATCATTATACCCTCTTGTGTAATATTCATAATACATGGAAAATAAACTTTTTACTTTGGCTAAAATAGTATGGCCAATATATTAATTTGTTATCTTTTGCAAGAACATATTCTCAAAAAAATTATCAGAGTTTGAGAAGCTGCTCCACTAATATCTATAAAATTAATAATATGGGGTTAACTTTAGGATATAATTTACTCCAAATTTTGTTTTCTGCAACAGTAGGTGTAATTTTCTTTCTTAAGTTTTAACTTGTTTCATTCATAACATACAACATATTGCATGAAGTTAGGAATGCATTATATATATATATATATATATATATAAGTATGATTATGATTTGGTGTATAATTACCATTATGCATGTTTTTGTATTATATTGAAGTGTTAACAAATCATTTTTTCCCAATCAAAATCGCCAATTCATTGAGCTATATATGATGCCATAATTCGTTCACTCAACTTAAAATACAAATGACTATGAGTGTATGACTTCGACCATATATAAAGTAAATATGGATGGCTTTAAGAAGATTTAAGCAAATAAATTTGTGTAAAATATTTAACATGTTTAACACAGGCATATATTTTTGAGACATAGCAGAAAATTTTAGTTTTCAGTTGTCTTGAAAGGCATTGATAATTAAGATGTTTTTTAATGTATATAATCACCATATATAAGAATTAAAAAAATTAAGATATGCAGGAATTCCACTAATTAAGTTGATATTAATATAACTCTATTCTCAATGAAAGTTACTCCTAGCTAGTCCAACAAAATAAGCAAAAATCAAAGCTATGAGTTTTTTTTTTTGACCAGCAAAGCTATGAGTTTAATTCCTTTAAATTAATTAATTAAATAATGAGTCTAATATCTCCACGTGATACTGTAAATGATATATATCTTTCTGCAATATATATATATATATATATATATATATAATCTTTACGGCCTAGGATCTGTATTAAATTGAGTGATATGATACTAAATAGTTAAGATCTTTAACTGTCTTTGCTAGGATTGAGCAATCACTGTAGATTGTATTGTAGTTATGGTACTTTTGAGAGTATGTTCAATTTACACTATCAGATCATTACACTTAATTCATAGTAATGATAATAATAAATTTTCAAAAGATATGTAAAGTGTATTTAATTTGTTGTATATATAGTCAAATTATCCTGTATTAAGGCACGGGCAAATATTTGGTGGACGGTGAAATTTCAAATTTTTCCTCCAGAGACAAACAATAAGAATCTAAAATATCTTTTGACCATTATTGGCTCTTTCTTTAATAACAAATACTCCTTCAGGTCCTAATTATAGAAGCTAATTGGGGAGTTTACTTTGTTTTTAAATGCAAAACCTCCATACATTTTGTCTCACAAATTTATAATTTTTAAATTATCTCTGTTAGTGGCATATGTTAAACTATATAGGTTTCCCTTGATAGAGAAACGATTGGATGATGCATTATATTTTAGAAAAATTAACACATATTTATTATTAATAACTAATAACTAATTTTTTAATATCTATAAGTCACTTATATAGTTCTTATATTTAATTGAAGTAAATATGTATATAGAATTTTATTGCAAGTTTTTTGGTAATTTGAATACAAAGGTTATGGAAACACACCATACAAGCTAAGAAGGAAACTTACTACACAAATCAATAAGAAAATAGCCACTTAAATCCAAGAGGTGGGTTGCCTATGATCATAAAATTAAAGTCTATATAAGGGCCTGGCATACGATTCAGTATAATTGTTGGCTTTTTAGAACAGTAACATCGCCTATTTGATTTCACTTCAAATAATTATTTGTGCATTTCACGAGATAAAAACTCCCAGTACATATTTATTTTGTACAGAGTAGAATCACTTAAAATAAGCCAATGTAAATTAGCAAGTGAAAAAATAACAAACCAGTCATGCATGGCTATGGATTCCTAATATTCCTTAGTAGTCAATGGGATTATCATGCACGACTAAATCACTCTGAATGTGTCATTTCATTGCAGGGATATATCATCAAGAATTTCGAAGGAAAAAGAAAAACTCAAAAGCGCGCACCTGGGCGTGTTGACGAAGATTCTCTTCTTCTCACTTTTAACAACCACGTAATTAAGATAAGTATACTGTGTATTATGACTTCTAATTGCAATTATTGCTTGCTAATAGGGAAACCGTACAGTTAAATCCTTTGATTCTGACCCCAAAAAATTTGATTTAAATTGCAGCAGCCAAGCCATCAATCTCATTTATCAGATGTTATAATTAAATACAGCCAATTACGGCTATAAAACGAGGAGGATCACATAATATTCCCATATATAATGAATATCCATTGAACATATATATAGACTAGTGACATGTATCTTAGTCAAATCTAGTAATAAATCAACCTTATTGTAAAAATGTTTTTCAAACAGCAGACGTTCTTTGAATGAATAATGCTTTATGCCATTGCCACGTACCCAATCATATGGACCCTGAAAAATGAAATACTACTTTCAGTGTTTAATATAAGAATCAGTTGGGTTAGATTTGATCTTCAATATAATATTTCAATCCATTTAATTTTTCAAATTTATGATTTTTCTCTAAAATTTCTCTATTGAATATAAAATGTTTCCACTTTCTACTAAGTGGTACTCTATAGTTTCAATCATCTGGTCCTTAATGTAAGATCTAATTAACTAATTTGAGTAGATTAAAGATATTAGTTAAATTAGTTAATATGGTATGTTTTTTCTAAAACACCTTAATCATCTTTCTTAATTTTCTTCCTCCCTCTCGTATTTGATTATTATTGAGAGAATATCAATAAGGTTAATTTTAAAAAAATTGATAAACATATAAAATAGGTCTTACATATAGGATAATATCAACTCTCAAATTAAATTTTATAATAAGAATCGGAGGAGTACACGATCAAAAATGATAGTTCAGAAAAGTTAACACATATGTTTGTTATAAGTAATCAACTTAATTAATTTATTTATTTAATATGTCTAAATTAATTATTTGACTCTTATACTAAAAACGATTAGTATGTTACTTGTACCAGTGCCTAACTGTTGAAGCTTTGTGGGCAAGATTAATTTGGTTTGGTCTAATATAGAAACTTCCGGATATTTCTCAATATTGTTGTTACTTGTCAATTTCTTTAGTACAAATATGCCGGTAACCATGGGTTTGTGTTTGTTACTTTATTTGTTCTGTCTAAGACTTGAATATATACACTGTAATTGTTAGGTTTGGTCAAATTAGTGTTAATAATTGGTGTAAGTTCTATACATACATTATAGTCACAGCTCACAAGTCACAACTAATGCTACTTGATTCAGTACTTGATCATATTATAAAGTAAATTTTGAGTTGAAGGCTTACAAATCAAGAAAATAAATTATATATATAATTATTTGATATTATGAAGTTATATTTGAATATTATTTTTAATCTAAATAAGATAACTTGTATAATATGATTTTTTTATTTGAATATTATTGTTGGGGGATTTGATGTTTTGTGTTAAGCCATTGAAAATGTTGATTAAATAAAAATGGAAATAACTGATGCAGATTATATAGTTGCAATTAATGGAAATTTGTTCAATTGATCTGCTAACTAATTATTATAAATAAAGTTTTGAGTCAGAGTGTCACTCAATGAAAAAAAAAAGATCTCTTTTTCTTATTTTAAATATAATTATATAATATATAAAACATAATATTAGTAAGGTCAAATTTAGGCATTGTTAGATTTAAATCGAAGTAAATTTTGATATAATTTTTTGATCCATGCATAAAACTTTGCAAGGGGTGTCAAGTCGATTTGACCCGATTCAATCAAAATGGACACATTTTTCAAAATCTCTACTTTTGAAAATTGAAAAATAATTGTAATATTGACATTTTAAAACTTGGCATCTATCCCTAAACATGCCATGGATTCGGGTTTACCAAAAGTCTGTCCTATGGTCCAAATAAAACATCTACGATATACCCACCTAAAAAGTCCAAATAAAACATCTACGATATATGCGGACCTAAAAATTGGGATATTTTTACAATTTATTTTAATTTTTTAACCAATCAACATCAATCTATAAAACTCATAATAAATTGTATGGTTAATATATATCTATATGAAATGTGATCCCATTTTAATTTTGATTAGTAATTTTAATTCCTAAAACCTCATTTTAAGAACCAAAATCACCGTTACAGAATAAAAAATTTTAAAAATAAATAAAATAACGTTAGATTTCATATATTAAAATTGTTGGTTTCAAGTTTCATAAATCAAAACCAAACCGAAGTTAAATTTTATATAATATTAAACCTAAATTAAACCATATCATTCATAAAGACAATGTAACTTATTTCAGACGCCGGCCACTTGTACGAATCCAATCAGATGCATCAACACACACAAACCCTAAAAGCTTAGAATGACCAAAGTTAAAGACAACTGTGATGTAATTTGTCAACGAATGAAAAAAAGAACAGAATATGGACAAAAGTGTGTTAATTCGAAAATAAAGGTAAATTAGTTGTTCCATTTTGATCGATTCAATGCATAATCAAGATCTTGAAAATGTTAATCTGTATCTATATATCTAACACATATTAGTTAATTGAACTTTTAGTGCTGCTTTTCACGTCAACTGTAATTTTGAAAAGATATATCAATGGGAATAAAACAATAGTACCCAAAAAAAGTATTGTTTTTAGTCATTCATTCATAATTAATTATCAATTTTTTTTTAGATACATTCGCCGTCCATCTTTTAACATGCACCATAACTGTTTAATTCCTGGTTTGAGTCAAATCAATTCCCATGTACATTTTCTAGATAGTTCAAAAAATTTTCTTCAACAAGAAGCTTTTACTGTTTAAGTTGTTGTTTAAACCAGTCAATCCATATGATATTCCTTTCCTTTCTAATTATATAAAAGAATTAGATAATTAATTTATACATATTAAAAAAATTATTTTACAAAATAT